AAATATGCCGTTAAACTTTATATCAGAAGTCAATTATTAGTCCCCCGAACTTTTGAAAGTTACAATTACACACATTAACATATTAATTTAGTGCATCAAGGCCCAAAAACCGATTAGCGACATGCAATAGTAGGTCACTAGTGCACCGACGGACCTCCAGCTCGGCGAGGGCGCGACCAGTAGATTGTCGGAAAAAGCGACCGTCGTTATCTCTGTTGACACGAGAAGGGTACCAAATTGGTCGACTTCTCCCTTGATTGGAGAAGGCGACCAAAACGGTAGGAGAAAAGGCGACCAGTTGGTCGCCATCTCCGTCGACTGGAGAAGGCGACCACTTGTTGCAAGCTAGCTTAGAATGCCAATTTATATTGCTTGTTGTTGGAAATTGTCAGCCCAATTATGATGAGTGCTGGAGAATTGGAAAGTGGGAATGCTGGTGAGCCAGCAAAGTTGATTAGGCAAAGGTACCGCGAGGCAGCAGAAATCATCAGAAAGGGGAACATGTGCGTCCTCTTCATCAATGATCTTGACGCAGGAGCTGGAAGAATGGGTGGGACTACCCAGTACACTGTCAACAACCAGATGGTGAATGCCACACTTATGAACATTGCTGATAACCCAACCAATGTCCAGCTCCCCGGCATGTACAACAAGCAGGAGAATGCCCGCGTCCCCATCATAGTCACCGGCAATGACTTCTCCACCCTCTATGCTCCTCTCATCCGTGACGGCCGTATGGAGAAGTTCTACTGGGCACCAACCCGGGAGGACAGAATCGGTGTTTGCAAGGGTATCTTCCGCACTGACGGTGTACCAGATGAGCACGTTGTTAAGCTCGTTGACACCTTCCCCGGACAATCAATTGGTACGTACTTAAATTAGCTTTCACATTCTCAACCTTCCTTTAAACTTCACTTTTACTTGAGACAAAACTGTTGGCGGAGGCCAGTAACGGGCCAAGTCCTCCGCCCAGCAATTGATGGCTAGGAAATTGTTTGGCGGAGGTCAGTAAAAGGTCAAATACAGCACCCTGTCCCTTGAAAATGTGATGGCAGTATAAGAAAACAAAGTTGCGCCTTCTCTATTTGCTATAGCTTTTAGCGTAGTGGTAAGCGCTTGATCCTAACAAGTGGTATCAGCAAAACTATACAGTTAAGACTGGTAGGTGGATTGTTGGGCGGAGGCCGGTAAAGGGTCAAGTCCAATACCCTACCTCTGAAAAATGTGATGGGAACATAAAATTGCATCGTCGCTACTAGCTATAACTTTTGGCATAGTGATAAGCTCTTGATCCTAATAAGTGGTATCAGTAAAAACTGTACAGTTAAGACTAGCAGGTGGATTGTTGGACGGAGAACAGTAAAGGGCCAAGTCCAACACCATACTTATAGAAAATGTTATAGCGGTATAAGGAAATAAAATTGTGCATTTACTATTAGCTATAACTTTTGGCGTAGTGGCAAGGGCTTGATCCTAACAAAAAACATATGTGATTTGGTTGACTCAATATAATGTTGGGCATTTCCTAACAAAAACATATGGCTAATTGGTTGATTCAATATAATGTTGGTTTTATTTGAGTGGTCTGCAGATTTCTTTGGTGCCCTGAGAGCAAGAGTGTATGATGATGAAGTGAGGAAGTTCATAGCATCCATTGGTGTAGATGCCGTGAATGAAAGACTGCTGAACTCTAGGGACGGCCCACCCAAATTCGATCAGCCAAAGATGACAATTGAGAAGCTTCTTCAATATGGATACATGCTTGTACAAGAACAAGAGAATGTTAAGAGAGTTCAATTAGCCGACAAGTACCTCAAAGAGGCTGCCCTTGGAGATGCAAACGAAGATTCAATCAAGAATGGAAACTTCTATGGTAATTAATAATCCATCATTTTAACATCTGTTGTGAAGAGATTGTTTGTTTCTTAAAAGTTGTTTGCTGGTCGGATAATGCAGGACAAGGAGCCCAGAGTGGTAATCTTAAGGTTCCTGAAGGCTGCACTGATCCTCAAGCAAAAAACTTTGATCCAACGGCTAGGAGCGATGATGGAACCTGCACGTACCAGGTTTAAGGTTACGACATCTGCGAAATCGTGTGTTAGAACCCAAGATGTCAGACTGAAATACTACTCAGCGGACACATGCAAGAGTATAATGTTTTGTGTCAATTGTATCATCTATCGGTTACTTTTCATAACAATTACTCTCCAGGTGTGGGACCTAGAAGCTAAAGATTTGTCTTTTATGGACAAAATTAAAGAATACAATGAAAGGGTTGGGTTGGGTTTGCCGAAATTATTAGTGCCATCGTCTTATATTTTTCAATTCGTTTGCACTTTTGAGGGCAAAAAGTGGCAAAATCTTGCAATGTTGAGGGTCCATTGTGTAACTTTGGACAAAAATGACGAATCAAAAATAAATAAGAACATAACTAAAGGACTAAAAACATTAATATTCATTAATTATGTGCACGCGATCTAATGTAGAGTGATGGATAAGAATTTAGAATTGTGAGGTCGTTTATTGCAATTGAGCTTACGAAATTAGGAGTTAATTTCATTGACTGATTGATTTAGTTATGAAATATTTTAGTAAAATACTGAAGTTTATACCATGTGCCACCAATTGGTTTTAAGGGGTGATATTGTTGGAAAAATAGGCTAATAAAGTGAAAACTCAATAACTGCTGTGCCGTGGTATAATCACTGACATAGAAGCGAATTCTTCGCTACCGGTGCAGGCTCACAACAACGGCGTCGAACTCGAAAGTTAACACAACAATCCCTGTCTCCATGCACCTAGAGCCGGGATTGGAACATACACAACATTCTCAGAGTGGAAAGGGGACAAACGAGTTAACAAGACAATGTTTGTCTTTGTGTCTGAACTCAAGAATACCTCACTTAAATAGTAGAAGCCAAATGATTATGGCCACTTACTAACTAACAAATATTGACTACTCACCAAACTTGTGGTGAATATTAATCAAGACTAAATCACCAGGGTAATGAGGTCCACAAAAATTATCCATTAACTTGCATTTTCCCAACATATGGATGTATACATATGTATGTAGTAAGCGTGTACAAGTAATTAGTCCATTAAGTCCAATTTGGAATACTAATTGGACCAAATTTGGGGCATAGTTAATTGGCCAAAATTGAGAAAATTATGTCAACATAATATACTCCATGTAGCAATTCCTCAGAGGATAAGATTGATTTATCCTTTGAATTTGTTTTCAAATGTTTGAAACTTTCTTATCCAAATGCAGTTGGCATTTTAACTTCTTAAATTGCCATGTTTTTTTTTTTTTTTTTTGAACAAAAAATTGCCATGTTTATTTGTTCCATGGTACTCAAAAAAAAAAAAAAAAAAAAAAAAAAAAAAAAGATCAGAAGCTCTTCATGCATGCATAAAACACACGGCAAAAACAAATTAGGATATGGTATATGGGAAATTAGTTTCCTTATTTCCTAAATATGAAATGGCTAAAGGAGAATATGTTTTCTTATTTCCTAGTTTTGCCGATATCGTTCAAATTAAAGTCTTAGTACTTCTATCATGGTCAAAATTAATTATTAGAAAGGATGCTATTTTTGAATGACACCTCGTACTCTCGTAGTCTTTCATGGACTACAATACATTATCACAAGCTAGCATTAAGATATATTATCAGTACGATCTGTTCACATGCAATTAAGAAGGTGGTTCCATCCCGTCGTCGTTGCGATCGTGACTTTCCGATCGTGATTGTGGGCAAGAGATCGTGGCTTCCTCTCTTAGCGGTGGCTGAGGGAGTGTCTCCCTGGTAGATCTAGGGTCTATATATCAATGGCGTTGATAGTTATGCATTCAGGTACCCAAAATCGTGATTCTCTGGCTTACGTAAATTTAGTGTGGTTGCTGTGTTTCATTCTGATCATCATGGCATCGGATCCGGTTCCTGCGATGAATTTCATTGAAGGCCGATGGGCTGATTTGTCTCTAGCGGATGAAGAGTGTGGCGGACTGGAAGCGCCGGATACTCAGATCACGGGTGAGGTTGGCCAACAATTGGAACTGGTTGGTCGCTTCCTCACGGACAGGCCGGTGAAATTCGAACACATGCAACAGGTATTGGCGTCGGTCTGGAGACCAGTTATGGGAATGCACGTGGATCTGTTGGACGAGAATCTGTTCCTATTCAATTTTCCCCATCCTAAGGACATGCAGCGGGTCCTTGATGACGGTCCATGGTCCTACGAAAATAATCTTCTCATCTGTACGCAGCTCAAGCCAGGCATGAGACCGGAGGAGGCTGATCTAAACGCCGTTCCTTGTTGGATCCAAATTCACGGACTGCCAACCGTTTATGCCTCGCAGGAATTCATCGCCCAGATTGGCAATCATGTGGGCAGATTTCTGACGATCGATCCTAACAATTTTGGTGGATCGTGGAAAAGCTATCTTTGGATTCGGGTCTTGCTAGACGTCAATACGCCACTCAAACAGCGTATGAAGCTGTTCAAAAGGGATGGTACATCCCAGTGGATAACGTTCAGGTACGAAAGGATCAATATGTTTTGTTTTTGCTGTGGACTTTTGGGACACACAGACAAGTTTTGCAAGAAGGTGTATGAAGAGGGTGTGGAACCGGATGCTTTCCCATACGGGGCTTGGATGAAAGCAGGACCGAGGAGACAAGTTAGGCCGGTAGGAGTGCGATGGTTGCTGCCATCGAGATCCGCGGCTATGGTGGCCAAGTCTGGGACGATTTCCCGGTCCTTGATTCTAGCAGAGGTGGAAGAGGGTGGCGGGCTGCAAGGTGAACTGAAAAGGCGGAGGGAGAATGAAGAGGAGGTTGGCAGCAATGGGGGGAAGGATGTGATTATGGAGGAACAAGTGAAAGCTAGTTTATCGGCTGGACTGGGGCCTCAGTCCTGCCCGGATCAATGAGCACTTTGAGTTGGAACTGCCGGGGTTTGGGGGGCACCCGGACAGTTCGAGAGTTAACGGGCATGGTGTCCCGTTTGCAACCCAACTTCGTTTTCTTGATGGAAACGAAGACGAATGCGACTCAGATTGAGAAATTGAGGGTGAGTTGGGGTTTTGAAGGGAAGTTGAGTGTAGATAGTGATGGTAGGAGCGGAGGCTTGGCGTTGCTATGGCGAATTCCCGGGACGGCGAATCTGTTAAGCTACTCTGCAAATCATGTTGACTTTGAGATTATTCTGCCAGGGATTCCTATGTGGCGTCTAACTGGATTTTACGGGAATCCGGACCAAGCTCAACGTCTGGAAACCTGGGACTTACTGAGACAGTTGCGAGATCGGTCAAATCTCCCGTGGGTGATTCTTGGGGACTTCAACGACATCACGTGTCAAGCAGAAAAGCGCGGTGTGAGGGGGCAACCGGAACGACTGATCGATGGCTTTACCGAAGCCTTGCATGACTGCTCCCTAGTAGACTTGGGTATGCTGGGATCCCGGTTTACTTGGGAACGCGGTCGCGGCACAGACAGGTGGGTCGAAGAGAGGCTCGACCGCGTAGTGGCTACTATGGAGTGGCTGGACCTTTATGAGGGAGCTGAGGTTCATAATATTATCACACTGGAATCGGACCATAATGCTCTTATGTTACAATTGGAGCCGAGGCCGCTGCAACATAACGCTAAAACTTTCCGTTTCGAGTCGGCTTGGGTACTGGAGGAAGGATGTGGCAGAGTGGTTGACACGGCTTGGCGACAAACTGTGGGTCTTGATTTCCAGGAGCGTATAGCTATATGTGCGCAGCAATTGGGGCGGTGGGGAGGTGAGTATAAGCGAAGATTCGGACGGCGTATTTCGAGTTTACGCAGAACTTTAGACCGTTTCCGCGATGATAGAGGTCAGGATACTGTGCGACAGTACTTGGAAGCCGAAGAGGAGCTAAAATCTTTATTATGTCAAGAAGAAATTTTCTGGCGACAGCGTTCTAAGAAAATGTGGCTTAAGCATGGTGACTCCAACACCAAATACTTCCACAAAATGGCCTCATCCAGGAAGCGACGTAACACCCTGGAACGATTGAAAGACCAACACGGATCTTGGCAGGATTGAGAGCGCATGAGGACCGAAATAATGAGGTATTACAATTATATTTTTCAGTTCGATTACCCCTCAGCTAGTATGTTTGACTGGGTTAATCGTAGAGTATCCGATTGACATGAATACGTTATTGCGGCAACCATTCATAGTGGCTGACGTTAAGGTAGCTCTTTTTGCTATAGCCCCGGACAAAGCGCCGGGACCTGACGGAATGACGCCCTCCTTTTTTCAACATTTCTGGTCTATAGTGGGTCATGATCTGTCAATGTTCGTCCTACAGTGCATTAATACGGGATCCTTTCCGCTGGGACTTAACGATTCTAATATCGTTTTGATTCCGAAGAAATTAAGCCCGGAGAGGGTTACGAACCTTCGTCCAATTGCACTCTGCAATGTGGCCTACAAGGTTATAGCGAAAGTTCTGGCTAATAGACTCAAAGGGGTCCTAGATTCGGTGGTATCGCTTTCACAAAGCACGTTTGTCCCCGATAGGTTACTTACGGACAATATTATTGTGGCCGGGGAAGTTGGTCATTTTCTTCGCAGAAAAACGACCGGTGTTAAGGGTTGGGCGGCCCTTAAGCTTGATATGGCCAAAGCCTACGATAGAATGGAGTGGCCATATCTGGAAGGAATGCTGACTGCTTTTGGCTTTGATCAGAACTGGATTAATCTTTTGATGCTGTGTGTTTCTACGGTCAGGTATTCCATACAGGTAAACGGAGAAGGAATAGGGGTAGTATGTCCTACCCGGGGTATTCGTCAGGGGGACCCGCTATCTCCGTATCTCTTCATAATTTGTGCAGAAGGTTTGTCCATCCTTCTTCAACAGGCAGAGGGGAGTGGCAATATTCACGGCGTACGTATTGCACGAGGGGCCCCTCCGGTGTCCCATCTGTTTTTCGCAGACGATAGTCTGCTCTTTTTCCGGGCTTCGAATGAGGAGGCGCAATCGGTTAAGGAGTTTCTAGATTGTTACAGCTCAGTCTCAGGACAGTTAATCAATTACGACAAGTCAAGTGTCATGTTCAGTGCGAACACTAAAGCGGAGGTGAGAGAACAGGTGTCTGCGTGTATAGGCGTTCGGGAAACGACAGATTTCGGCAAGTATCTTGGATTGCCGTCGGTCCTTGGGCGTAATAAATCCGCTACTTTTCAGTATATAGAAGATACGGTCCGGGCAAGGTTGAGTTCGTGGGATCAACGCTTACTCTCCAAAGCAGGTAAAGAAATAATGCTTAAAAGCGTTGCACAGGCCCTCCCTATATTTACTATGTCTGTTTTCTTGCTGCCAGTTCGGCTTTGTGACAGATTGGAAAAATTGTTTAATCGTTATTGGTGGGGTGGAGGCAATTCGAATAATAAAGGAGTGCATTGGATGAGTTGGAGCCGATTAAGTGTCCCGAAATATCACGGTGGGCTAGGATTTCGAAGATTACATGAATTCAATGTCGCGTTGCTAGCTAAACAAGGATGGAGACTACTGACGACACCGCAGTCACTGGTTAGTCAATTACTGAAAGCTAAATATTTCCCGAATTGTGATTTCACTGATGCCGTACTGGGTAATAACCCGAGTTACATGTGGCGTAGTATCCTGGCGGGTCAACATGTTTTGAAGGCGGGTTTGGCTCGCCGAATTGGGAATGGCAGGGACACGAAAATTTGGGATTGGCCTTGGTTGGCCGATCGCGTTAACACTACTCTTACTACTGTGCCTTTGGATCACTTACGTGACGAGAGAGTCAGCGAGTTGTTGAACGAGGATGGACAGTGGGATGCCGATCTCATTTGGGACCTGTTTAATGCCGATGATGTGCGCAGAATCCTAGCCACTCCAACGGCCGCCCACGTATCTGATTCGTGGCGCTGGGTGGGGGATACTCATGGGCTCTATTCGGTGAAACACGGCTACAAGTTATTGACGGCACAGTCTACGTTGAATAGCAATCCTGACAACTTTGACACATGGGACAAATTATGGAAGTTGCCAGTTCCTCCCAAGGTACGTCATTTGTTATGGCGGTGTGTCCGAGGCATTCTCCCGGTGCGAGAGAATCTTAAATTAAAACATGTTTGGATTGGGGGTGGTTGCCCACTCTGTATCAGTGATGTGGAAACGGCGGAACATTTGATTGGTGAATGTTGTTTCGCAAAACAGGTCTGGGCGAGTGATGCAAGTTGGCAGGGTGAGTCGATTCAGACTTTCATAGCTTCAAAGATCAAGGATGCGCGTGAAGAGACGGTGGTCCGTATGGCGGCAGTAATCTGGGTGGTTTGGATGGTGCGGAACGATATGGTGTGGCGAAACAAATCATGGACCGTGGAAGCAGCGCACCGTCAGATTGATTTGTGGATTCAGTCGTGGAAGGTAGCCTATAAGCGGGAACACACTTCTGGCAATTTAAGTGATGAAGTTGCGTCATGGGATCCTCCTCCACGGTGCTGGGTAAAGTGTAACGTCGATGCTGCTCTCACGTCGTCAGGGGCGGGATTTGGGGCTGTGCTCCGGGATCATGTTGGGCGTTTCGTGGCGGCAAGGAGTGGTCGTTTAAACTGCGATCGTGATCCGTTAATGGCAGAGGCATGCGCGGCTAGAGAGGCGTTATTGTGGCTTCGTAATAATGGTCGTAATCATGTGATTATCGAATCTGATTGTTTGGTTTTTTGTAATGCGTTCAATTCTTCCAAATTAGATTTATCTTGTGTAGGGTTAGTAGTGAAGCAATGTACACAAATTGCTAGGGACATTGGGGACGTTGTCGTTCGCCATGTCAGGAGATCAGCGAATCGTGTGGCTCATGCCCTTGCACGGGTAACCGATTCTATGACTGACTCAGAGTCGTGGTCTGATGTACCACCTGATTGTATTTCTGGCCTTTTGGTTTAGTAATGATATTTACGTTGTTTGTTTCAAAAAAAAAAAAAAAAAGTCTTAGTACTTCTTCGTAGAACATACATTGACAAATGTTATCCTCTCGTATTTACTCTCGTAATTGAATTTGTTAAGCAGTCAAATTCAATTATTACACCCTTCATAGTATTTCAAAAATTCTTATCTAAAAAGTTATGAACTTGGCCAAACAGTTAGGGCCATATTATTATACTCCGTACTAAACTAAAACAGTCAAACTCAATATCTCTAGTTAATAATTTATAAACTAACATTAAGTTAAAATTATTAATTATTATTAAAAATGCAAATTATCCAATTGGTGAATAATTTATAATTATATATTTCTGAAAAAAAATTTATAATCATATATTTAAATATATTATATGGAATTATTTTTATCTTTAACTTATTAACGTATAATATACCTTTGATGTTACGGAACATGTTATAATTTCGCCTCCTTAGAGTCTTCGACTTAATACTCAAAATTTCGAGTCGCTATGTTGTGCATGGTGCACACGGACGCAAAAACGACATCGTTTTAACGTCGACTTAAAAAAAAATCATAATTGCATAGCTACACATCCATAATTTCATAACTATACATCCAGAATTGCATAACTATACATCTAGAATTGCATAACTACAGATCCATAACTTCATTACTATACATCCAGAATAGCATAACTACACATCCATAACTTCATAACTATAAATCCAGAATTGCATAACTTCATAACTATACATTCAGAATTGCATAACTACACATCCATAATTTCATAACTATAAATCCAGAATTGCATAACTATACATCCATAATTTCATAACTATATATACATTCAAAAGTTATGCACAACATAATGTTGTTGACGGGAATCCAAACTGATTTTTTTTTTTTAAAGTTGGATGCACGTTTTTAGTCAAAACGACGTCGTTTTTGCATCCGTGTGCACCATGCATGGTGCACACGGATGCACAGCATAATTTGCCCAAAATTTCCAATCGTTATGCCGCATGGAACCGTGTTCACCATTCATGGTGAACACGGTCCCAAATGGTAACGGTGCCTATGGGCACCGTTATCTTCCACCAATCTTTCTTTTGTTTTTGTTTTTCTTTTTTTTTTTTTTTTTTTTTTTTTTTTTTTTTTTTTAAATTAACAGTGCGACTTTTCTTCTTCATATTCACATTTTGCGATTTCACTTTCTCTTCGTGCAAGTTTCTTCAACACTCATAAATTATGAATGTGCAGGCATGGATTTATGAATGTGCAGTTATGAAATTATGAATTTTCTTTTATAAGATTTATAATTTTCTGTTATGAAATTATAATTTTCTATTATGAGATTATGAATGTACAGAAAATTCATAATTACATAACTGTAAATTCATAATCTCATAACAGAAAATTCATAATTTAATAAATGTTTTTCTTTTATGAGATTATGAATTTTCTGTTATGAAATTATGAATTTTCTATTATGAGATTATGAATTTTCTGTTATGAGATTATGAATGTACAGAAAATTCATAATTACATAACTGTAAATTCATAATCTCATAACAGAAAATTCATAATTTAATAAATGTAAATTCATAATCTGAATATAGAATGTAAAACGCCGTTAACAGCACATTAACTATTTTTTTTGGTAAAAATGATGCCGTTTGAGACCGTGTTCACCAAGCATGGTGAACACGTTTCTACGGCATAATTTGCGAAAATTTCAGGTTAGGCTACTGTCCTTGACGAATCCGAAATGCAAGTCTTTGAGACTTTGACCACATGACAGTTTCCTCGACACTAATTAGTGAGAAGTTGTTAAACGCAAATTATGCTGTGGCACCATGTATGAAGGGACGGAACCAGGACGGAATAGCGCGGGGGGCCAACTATGATTGAAGTATTAAATCAAATACATCGATATCCCGTTAACATATATCTCAAAATAATCATTACATTACAAATTTAATAAAATAATTTAGAATAAATCATTTATAATTGAATCTATATTAAATTATTTTGCAATATGCTTTTCAATGCACATGGCTTTGTATGGTTGAAAGAATGAAAACATTCACGCATGTTTTAAAAGACTATTGATGATTTATTGGA